GAGAGAGAGAGAGAGAGAGAGAGAGAGAGAGAGAGAAAGAGAGAGAGAGAGAGGATGCTGTGTATGTGTGACAAAAACGTTTCCTAGGGAGATGCGACATCTTCAGAAAACAGTGCTCTTGTATGTGCCTTGACTATCAGTTTGACATAGACGTACAACTGGGGCATGAAAACATAAGTGGGAGTACTTGGTGGAAGGAATTGGGACCAATGAGAAGGAGGAAGAAGGGCTAGGGGAGAGCAGCAGAGGGAGATATGAGCAAGATACACTGCCAGATATATATATGTATATGTATGTATATATACATATGTGTGTGTGTGTGTGTGTGTGTGTGTGTGTGTGTGTGTGTGTGTGTTAAGGCCAACATCAAGAAAAAGTCCTACATAATTTATATAATCATGAAGATTTAATAACATAACTTTTATAAAGTCTTTGTACACTCCAAAGTTGCTGTGCAGAGGTAAGGAAGAATTGTGCCTAGGCACGGGCTGTGGGGAACCCCCTTTCTTTCCCATCTGTCATTCAACACTGAGTGCCCGCCCACTGGGCGGTGCCGTCTGCCAGGTCTTAGAGGACCTTCATCCCTTCCCGAAGCTCTCATCCAGTAGGGAGATTCACACAAGAAACGACCCAACTTAGCACATTACAGAGTACAGATTGAGAGCAATAAATGCTTTAAGGGAAAAATAAAAAAGACTACCGGTACGATAAAGGATTGTAGTACAGAAGGTAGAGTAAGGACTTTGATCTTTAAAATAAAAGGGAAAGGGAAAGGGATGTCTGAAGCAGGAAGAAGAGAGACAATGGACTTCCAGGTGAAGAGATGGCCAGGCCAGAAAGAAAGTTGAGGGGCCGGAGGGACCAGTAGGCTGCAGTTGGGATGGTTAGAGTAATGGAAAGGGCCCTATCCTGGAGGGTCTTCATGTAGCGTCTTCGGTTCCTGCTCTGACTTATTTTGTCCTATAAGCTACTTCATGCCCCTTTGCTTACAGGGAGAGGCTACCATTCGTGCTTATCACTGACATCCTGCAAAGCAGTCACACACAAACCGAAAACCCAAAAGATCAGCAGAAGCAGATGAGGCAGGAGACCTAAGCTAGTTCATTCTGGCTTCCCCAGCGCCTCACGCAGAGCCTGGCATCTATCTGTGGGCACACCATCAAAGTTCATCACGTTAATGAATGGCAAGATGACCTACCAGGCAAAGAGCAAGCCTGGGGCGTTGAAAGGGGTGACCCCCCAAGGCGGTAGAATCTAGTCCCCTTCCACGTGGTGCGTCCGGGCTCTGACTGAAGGGGACTCCCTTTAGATGCCCAAGTTGCCAGCCTCCAAGGGATGCCCATGCCCTTGGCACGCGAGCGCACAGCTCCCCCATCCCCCACCCCACCCCGTCTCACAGTGCCCGCCTCGCACCAGGGTGTTCACACGCTCGCTCGGGTAGCATAAAGCGCCGTCTGTCCCCACGCACTCCACGCACACACAGCAGGGACACGCACACTCCCCACACATACGTTGTGTCTCACCGTCACCCAGATTCTCAACTCCCTGCACCCCCTCCCACCCTACCCCCAACCTCAACCCCAGACACAGGCGATCGCCCACAAGTTCAAGTTCTCCCGCCTCACACCCACGCATGCGCCCAGGCTGGGAGTGGGGGTGGGGTGGGGTGGAGGGCGAGGCTCATGCGCACCTGTGGCGGATCGGAGAGGTCGCGGCGCAGGGCAGGCTTTCAGGTGGGTATTGAGATCGCTGGTGTCATGTTTGGGAACTTTGGGTCGGTGGGACCGTGTGGATTCGCTTGTTTTGTCCCGCTTGTTTTGTGACTAGGAAGAGGGGAAGGGGGCGCAGGGTGCTGGGGGACCCGCAGGATCCCCTTGCCGCTGTGTGCTCCTCTGCGCCCGGACTGGGACGAATGCGCGGACTCGGGACTCGTCCTGCTGCACAGCCTGGGTGCTCACTTTCCGTCTGGGGACACTGGACGCTGGAAGCTGTGAATGTGGTGAAACGAGAAGAGGGCCTTAGCTTGAAAGTTGCAGCACTTGGGAAGCTGAGGCCGGAGGATGCCAAGTCGAAGCCATTCTGGGCTGCAGTGTGAGACACACCCCCACCCACCCCCACCCACCCCAGAAGAAGGAAGAAGAAACAACCGTGGTTGAATGCTCCATCTCTTTCCTCTCCAGGTGTTTGACAGACTTCAGTTTCTTTGTCTGTGAAATAAGGAGCCAGGCGTCCAGCAGGTATGAATTCGCTTCTATGCAGACTATGGACTGGCTGTCTGGCAAACACTGGGAATAAACAAAACAGACCCAGTTTCTGCTGAGGTGCAGCTTGAAGTCGGCTGGGAAAGATACCCAACCAGAAACTCAAGCCACAGAACTTCAGATCACCAGTTGTGATGGACTTTTGAAGTAAAGCGATGAGGTTTGGGTTTCATTCAGAGCTTCCTGTGTTCTGGGCACAGGTGCATAGAAGAAATCAGGTTCCCTAGCCTCCTCTTTTGTCAGTCTGTCCTTTCTGTCACGTGGGCCAAGTTTGGCCGAGCCTTGGAACCTGTAATACACGTTGGAAAGCCACACTAATCAAGGGTTGGACTATTAAAAAAAAAAAAAAGTACATAGTGACTGTACCTTCCTCACGGCATCATTATGAGAAATAAATACTGTGTGAAGTATTACCCTACTGCGGCTGAGACTCTGAATCCTGGCTCTGCCATCTCTAGCTGTGTGACCTAGGTTAAGTCTCTGAATTTCCATAGTCTAGGGGTTCTGCTACACAAACAGCCATAATAATAGCATCTTTTCTGGGAAGGCTACTGGGGATTGAATGAGTCATGTGGGCAAGGCTATGTTCCCCACCCACACCCCCTCCCACACACAGAAAGCTCTTGGAGATGGTCGTCGTTGTGGGGACTTTTGTACACTCAGATGGAGCCTGTTTCCTCCTTGGTGAAGTGGGTGAGCAGGCAGCAGAGTTAGCTGTTTTCTCGGGGTCACAGAGAAGCTTTGAAGTTTAGGGTACAGTCCCAGGTGGAGAAGGCAGGAGGGGGATTTTGGGCTGGGTGGGGCGTGGGATGTGAAGTATCCCTGGCACCTCAGATCCATGAGGCTGCTGCCCAGAAATGGAAGACTAAGGGAGCCAGCAAGTGGTAGCTCCAGGGTAGAATGCAAAAGCTTCAGAGCCTACAGGTGAGGACTCTGGGAGAAGCCCTGGTCTGCAGGGTTCCTCACAGCCACACCTGAGCTTCTGATACCTCCTGTCTGAAAGATTTATACAGCTTTCGGGTGCTGACAATGATGATGGTGGTGATGATGATGATGATGACGATGATCAAACTTGAGGTATGGTGGTAGGCCTTAATTCCTCACGAACCGTCGAGAATGGTGGCATTTTTTGTATTTCACAGGTGCAGAAACTGGATTTCTTCTTTTCACTGTCTCTGGCTTCTTTTCAGTTCTCTCAGTTATAAAAGAGAAACTCGGGGTGGGGTGGGGTGGGGGCTGGACACACCTTAAATCTCAGCACTTAGGGGGCAGAAGCATGCAGATCTCTGTGTTCAGCCTGCTCTACAAAGCAAGTTCCAGGATAGCCAAGGCTACACAGAGAACTCTGTCTGGAAAAAACAAACTAACAAAGTAACTAACTAACTAACTAGAAACTCTTCAGGGCTCCTGTGTCCTGTCCCTAGGTTCTTTGACTTTGATAGCCTGAAACTTATACCTCATGCCTCTGGCATTTTTTTTTAACCAACTCCCAGAGCTCCATGGGCTTTCTTTAATAGTCCCATGACCTTCTGCATCCTACCAGCTGTAAGTTGATTTGTTGATTCATTTAAGGTATTGCAAACCCCCAGGGGGCGGGGCTTGTGCTACTGGATTCTCTGGCCCTGAGCCTGTGTATAGTAGGCACTCAATCCACACTTACTTTTGGGGTTGGGGGATGATGTTGGGGGTTAAGCATGGCACCCCTTTGCCCACCAGGCAAATGCTTCACCTCTAAACTACATCCCTGAGCCAATACACTCTTTCCGTTGATCAGAGAACGGAGGTCTATGGGGCTAAGTCAGTCTCTTCAGGTTCCAGACTGGGAGGAGGCAGGAATAAGCTTTTCTCAGTACTGGTCCTGCTTTCTCTCATGAAAATCTCTAGTGCCTTGGTGGGGGACTTTTGTTTGTTTGTTTGTTTGTTTGTTGAGACAGGGTCTCACTATGTAGACCAGGCTGACCTGGAACTCACAGTGACCTATCTATCTGCCTTAAAGGCATGCACCCCCATGCCTAGCAAAAACAGGTAACTTGGGGTGTTTTTGAACAAGCGTTCTAGGTGGTTTTTGTAGATGACCAAGGCTGAAAAAAAGAAAGGTGGAATCGTTTTAAAAGTACAGGCATTCACACTGATTTGAGTAAAGTGAAAAAATAAACATGAGAGGGCTGGGGACATGGCCCGGCTGTAGATTCCTTATCTGGCATATGCAGTCCTCTGGACTCGTCCCCCAGAAGGAAAAGAAAAAAAAAAAAAAAAAAGAAAAAAAAAACACGAAAGATGGCGGCGAGGAGAGAAAGAAAAATGTTTTGATCCCCATAATTAAGCAGCTATATCAGCCCAATGCTTGCAGCAGAGGAGGGGATTGGTATTCTGTGAATAACTCAGCTCTTCCCTGCCTTCCCCGCTCCTCTCCTTAGGCAAACGCCTCATAGCTGAAAAGAGTGGTGAGGCTGGCTGGGAAGGGCCAGAGGAACTGGAGTCGGAGGGAGGGAGGGAGGTGGGGCATTTGCTTCAATTATCTGGATAATTGTCCCCCACCTCAGGCCATTGTTCCGGGAATGAAACAATATTCTATTGGATACTGTCTCGGCCTTTTCATCGGGCTCCCCGCGGTGCCTCGCACACGCTGGGCACAGAGTAGGCACTCAATAAATTTTGTGCCGATGACAGACCAGAGCTTTGAGGGTGGGAGAGGGGTGATGGTGAGGATTCGGAGATGAGGGGCTAGTCGTTAAGGTGAAGGGCAAAACCAGGGCGTGGGGGTGTGGGGTGTGGGTTGGCTGCCATCAAAATTCTGCTCCTAGGGCCAGGAGGCCATGTAGATAGGCAGGCAGCTTTTCCTGAAATTCTGAGCCAGCCCCCTGACTCCTTTCTCAGAAGATGCCCCCGCCCTTCCTCAGAAGGCTCCATTGAACTCCTGCAACTGTGGTGAGCACAAAGGGGAATTCAGGTTTCTCAAAGGCCCATCTACTCTGAATAAACACCAGGCCGATGCAAAGGCACTTTGGGTACGGCCTCAGCCTAGGGTCTGCAACCTGTTACCTCGCGGGATCGGGCCGCGTCCTGATTTACATTAAAAGCAGAATCCCTAGGGCCTTTCAGTCGCCTATCACTCAGCCAGTCCTGGAATGTGGGGACTGGCTCCCAACTGCCCCCTTTCCCCGGACCCACTGCTTTCAAGGTGGGGAGGGGAGAGAGAAAGCATTTGCTAATTGCGCCCTTGCCTTTAATGAGGTTCTTTTACTTCCTAGCTTGTTTGCAGGTTACAAGCCTTATCTGGGGACCCACAGTTTTCCACTCTGGCTACACATCCTGCGAACAATCGCCTCTCCAGAGCCTGAATGGAAAGCGAGCGAGCGCCCCATTTCTGCTGAATGGCCGCCTCAGTTCATCTGAGGCTGGAGGGCTTTTGATGGCCACAATACAAGTTACGCCCAAAGAGTGTCTCTTTGGTCAGATCGACAACGCTTGGTTTCACGTTTGCAAGTTAAAGACCCAGCTGAAACTCCCACGCCAGACGCCAAGGACATTTCCCTCCACCCTGCTCCCAGCACAACTAGGGAAAGGTTCTGGGCAGGCAGAAGGGGAGGGGGTGCTGGTTGGGAGGAGGGGTGGAGGAGAATGGGGTCCTGATTCGCAGCAGCCATCTAGAAGTAGGTGAGGGGGGTTCATTTTCTTTGGCATTTCTTTCTTGCTTTTAATTTTTTTTTAATTTAAAATTTTTTTCTTTGTTGACAGTTTTACCCAAACAAAAAAATAAAGCAAGAGCATTTTCTTCTTGTCTTCACCTAGGTAGCTGCTGCTTTTCCTCCAGCCCCTGAAAACGTGACTCCTTCATAAAATCAAAATTTATGATTATTCAAATGTTGGGGACTGTGAAAAGAGAGGAAGAAAGAGAGAAAATTAATATTGCAGCTGTTCTTCTGATTAATGAGAGATAATTGCTCATGAGAAGTCACCCCTGTGGCATTTTGTTGTCTCCTGGATCTTTGTTCTTTTCCACTATTATTGAGGACTTTCTTGAAGACTAAGCGGTTCTTTTCAATTTTTGGGTATTCAGAAAGGGTTGCCTGGTTACAGAGAATGGGGAAATCTCGGGCTATATCGGGTAAGATGTGCCACAGACAGCAATATCACAATGCCACTTGGAGAAAAGGATGGATACAAGTTAACGATGCGCTTTCAATAAAACATTCATAGACTTGTTCACGCTTTGATAATGACCTCATTAAAGGGAGCTGGGGGCAAGTAAGTCCTGTCTCCTGTTTGTGTTCGGCTAACAAAACCCAGCTTTGAGATCATTCATCGCTTTGGAAACTAATATGAAATCAATGTAAGAGGAGCAAATAAATCCGAGGCAGCCCCGCCAACTCCCCGGCTGTCCGGCTGTGCTTGCGGCCTCAGTTTGTAGCTGGAGAACTATAGAGACAAATGCTAAACCAGAGAGGGCAGGAAAAAAAAAAACTGAGGATGGGAGGGGGAGCTCTTGGGGGATAAAGGGTAGGTGCAAAGTGGGGGGTTTGCCTGAAAAATAAAAAAGAACGGTTAAGTACATCAACAGGTCAGAACTCTGGGGCCTGTTGAAAAGGCCATGCCACTTTGCCCATGAAAGGAAATTGGAAGAAAGAAGTGGAAAAGGGATGTGAGGTTCGGGTCAGTTTCCATCGCAGGCAAGAGGGAAAAGTACTACACAACCATTGGAAACCTAGAATCCAAGCGTTCAAGGCTCAAGGCTGAGCTAGAAGGAACCCAATCCTAGAGCCCACTGGCAAGAAGGCACCGTTGCTCTTTTTACAGCTGCTTTGATTTTTTTTTTTTTCCCCTAAGCTGAGGGCAGGATGAGGGTGCTCTGTCTGGGAATGGGGAAAAGCAATTTTGTTACCTTTGCATTTGTAACACTGCTTGCATTCAAGGAAGACAAAGCCAGCCAGCCGCTGCCAGCCTCAGCAAAAGAGAGGGAAGCAAAGGGTTTCCCCCCTCCCCTTAAAAGAACTAATTTTCTCCTTGAATTATGAAAGTAATGGCTAAGGTAACAGCCTGTACTCTGTACCCGACTGCTTAATACCGAATAAATCCTTCCACGTGGCTCCCCAAGTCCTGGCAATTAGAGCTCATTATAGGCTCATAAGAGCCCTCATTTTGGGGCTTACTTAATGGACGATGAAATTTTATCAGACAGAATCACTGAGAAATAAAATTGTGCGCTGGGGCAAGCACTCTGGGCATGTGCTGCCTGTCTGCCAGCCTGCTTGGGAGAAGGCTCCGTATGGCATCCTCCTTTGCTCTGAGCAGTTTGCTTTGCTACTTACTCCAGGGGCAATGGAGGCAACTCTGCCCAGGATGCGGAGGGTGGGCAGAGGTGGAGCTGACTTCTAGAAAAAAAAGGGGGGGGGAGACAGACACAGAGAACTAGGGAAAAAAGAAAGAGCAAAGGTTATAAGAGGGGATACAGCTCCCAAACACTTGATCTTGGTGAGCCTACACAATTTGCAAAGGACTCCGGTGAACCGATTTCTCAGTCCAGCTCTCCGACTCAGCCTAGCCTGAAGCTTCTGCTCCCCCGCAGTCATCAGTACCACCCCCACCACCCTCCCTGGACCCCTCACCTCTCTCAAAATTCCTTGGCAGTGGAAGCTGAATGCATCCACAGTCCGACATAAACCAAACAAGATGTAAGCCTCCTGCTTGACGGAGTCCCTAAAATGAATGGGTCTGCACACAAACACCATTTGCAGAACATGAACAGAGAGCAATTCTTGGGCGCACACCAGAAGCCACTGAGAATACTGGCATGCAAGCACCAGCCCCCAAAGGACTATAGATGACCTACCTAGCCAGAGGAGGAAAGAGAAAAGGGCTATGTTCTCAAAGCACCAACCTATTGACCCCATGGAACAATCTAGGCCTTAAAAAATACTCTGGGGCTGGAGAGATGGCTCAATTAAGGGCACTTGTTGCTCTTGCAGTGGACCTGGGTTTGGTTCCCAGTGTCCATATGATGGTTCGCACCTATCAGTAACTCAGGATCCGGGGGGATCTGATGCCCTCTGGCTTCTGAGAGCACCAGGCACAGTGTGGTGTGTATACATGCAGACGAAACACTCATATACATAAAAGAAATATCTTAAAAAATAATAATCTGCCGTCAAGCCTCTCGATTGTTGAATTCTAAATACTTTTCCTAGGGTTAGAAGGATTGCAGGGACTGCTGGGCAGGAGAGAGTGGGTTGGTTAGAGTTGGTCTTGACTGGGTGGGCTGGATGAGAATGAGCACCCTTCAGGGCTGTATAGGCGAACCTTACGATGCAAAAGTAGTTACAAGTGAGTGGCCCCACGCTCAGCCCCAGACTCCTTAATTGTTGTCACAAGATGTTGGATTAGCACATTTCTGGAATAGCTGTCTGTTTACACTCTGGAGACCTACCGTCCACTAACCACTTTCTAATTGAATTCTAATCACATTCAAATAGCTCAATAACCAGCCTCAGCTGCAATTCATAAAACTTTAATTGCCATCCATAAATCCTGGGCTCCCTAGAGCGGGGCATCCCTACAACCCAATTATACTCCTCCATCAGACAAGAGAGAGGTGGTCACAGAGATGGGTAGGGGGAGAGAAAGAGAAAGAGAAAGCCAGAGGGCACAGAGAGAACCATGCCTCCAGCTGGGGTCTCCTGTCCTTGGGCACTTCTCAGGTTGAGGGAATCCAGTCTTCAAGTTCCTTGTCGCTGTTGTGAACTTACACTTGAAGTTAGCCATTTTAGCAAAAGGACCTGAAAGAAACCCGCTGTCATCTTTGCTGCCTTGACTTCCCCCCAAACCAAGAGCCCCAGTGGTGGCGGCCACCCTCTCTCACAAGGCTCACAAGTCTTCCTGAGCCCCGGAAGGGAGTTCTGGTACCAGGCCACTCCTCACAGGTACAGGCAGGATTCCTCCATTAGCTCTACGCCCTTCTTGAGCTTTAGGATTTGAGGATGTAAAGAGCATCGGTATTGAGGGTGCGGGGTTGGGGGTATTAGCAAGAGATCACTCGACTTACACCAGAGGCCTCCTCAGCTCCTACGCCAGTGTATAGGAAGGCTGTTTTTGGTCATCTCCAAATATTTCGCAGTGGCGTTTGTAAGGTTGAGCTTGTAAAACTATGTAACAGCTTGGAATAAGAAAAGGGCGACTCCTCACCCACCCCCCCCGCCCCTCCGCGGAAGGCTGAACTGCTGACTAGAAAGATGCTCAAGAAGGGTCGTTGGTCTGAGTGGCCTCAAGAGAAGCCCAAACACAAAGGCATTTGGGAACTGATGTAGCACCGGCCTGGAGCGCTTGGTTTCTTAGCCGGGCAGTTACCCATTCGTCCAGTTACTGGATTTGTCCGTGCGAATGACCTTGGCCAAGTCCAAAAGCTGGAGAGCAAGGGCAGGTATGAGTGTGGTGAGGATTAGACCAGGCCGACCTCCCCTTCACGATCACACACCCTGCTCCAAGGCAGAAGAAGTTTCAGGCTCTACTGTGCAGCCAAGGTTGACACCGAGGAGTTTGGAAGCATTTGAGTACCTCAGTTTAAATGGCCTGGAAGTCCCCACCTGGTGCGCTCCGCATCGCATCGCCATGAAGAGTTGGACAGAGGATCAAACAAGGGAGAGTGTAGGACAGAGTGTGTACGGCTAAGATTTTCTGCAGCAAAGATGGAGAAGCGGGACAGGAGGTCGATCCCCCAGCAAAATTAACAAACCATACACTTTGCGAAGTCTCCCCCTCCCCCGCGTTCTTCCCTGCCCGCCCCCCCCCCCCCCGACGCTTCTGTTGTGACTTGGGCAGCCTATCCCGAGGGTGGGGAGCTGCGGAGGAGCCTGAGCTGAGCGGTACTCCGCAGCATCACGTGCCGGGGTGGGGGCTATAAAATCCTGGAGCCGGGGCGCCGGGCGGGGGACGTGAGGACCAACCTTCTCCAAGGACCCCTTTGTTCGAATCCCAGACGCCCCAGACGCCGACACCTCCGTGTCCCCAAGGGCTTGACCGCCCGCGTCCGCCCAGCTCACATCTCGAAAGGCAAGGAGAAGCCGCGGCCCCGCAGGACAAGCCATCCATCCCCCGTAGACATGTCGCGCTCCTTCTATGTGGACTCGCTCATCATCAAGGACTCCTCGCGGCCCGCACCCTCGCTGCCGGAATCGCACCCAGGGCCGGATTTCTTCATCCCGCTAGGCATGCCGTCTCCGTTGGTGATGTCGGTGTCCGGGCCGGGCTGCCCGTCCCGCAAAAGCGGCTCTTTCTGCGTGTGCCCGCTTTGCGTCACCTCGCACCTGCACTCCTCTCGCCCGCCCGCGGGAGCCGGCGGCGGCGGCGCTACGGGGACCGCAGGGGCTGCGGTGGCGGGCAGCGGGGCGACTGGGGGCACCGGCGCCCTACCTCTGCTCAAGAGCCAGTTCTCTTCCGGTCCCGGGGACCCACAGTTCTGCCCACGGGTGAGCCACGCACACCATCACCACCACCCGCCCCAGCACCACCATCACCATCACCAGCCCCAGCAGCCAGGCTCAGCGGCGGCGGCGGCGGCGGCGGCGGCTGCAGCGGCGGCCGCAGCGGCCCTGGGACACCCTCAGCACCACGCACCTGTCTGCGCCGCCACCACCTATAACGTGTCGGACCCGCGGAGATTCCACTGCCTCACCATGGGTAGGGCGGGGGCCCTGGGGACCCGCGCGCGCGCGTCCCGGGAACAAACTTTGCGCCGCCAGGGGAGGAGGTGCGAGCCCGGGGGCGGGGTGTGGCGGGAGGTGGGAACTGTTGAGGTCGTCCTCAGCAATTCCACGGAGGTGGGGGTTCACTTGTCAACCTCTCGGGGAGGCCTTAGGCACTTCGCTCTACAGGTGCGCAAGTGTCGTGTGTTATCCGGGCGTTGGGGACCTGGATCATGACTTCAGAGGAACCGGTGGTTGACTGAGCGAGGCTTGCGGGTGGGTGTGTTTGAACCTCAGTACTGCATTTTAGCATGCCGGCTGGTTAAAGGGTTTCTGTGCCTTTGGTTGAGGCTGCTAGCAGTTTCTACTTCGCTAGGCGGACGGAAGGCAGCAAAGGGGGGCAAACCCCAGCGCTCCTTTAACTTAGAATCCAGCGCATACATACTGAAGGCCTTAATTCTCCTGGACCACTCTCACCCTCCCAGACAGGCCACAGAATGCGAAACTGGGGCGAGCATGGGTCTGTTGGATTAGACTGGGTTCTGGAGACCCGTCCTTTCCAACGGTTGGCAAGTAGGGTAGGGGATACATCCCTGCACCTCACCTCTGCTCTCTTTTGGGTCCGTAGGAGGCTCCGACGCCAGCCAGGTACCCAACGGCAAAAGGATGAGGACAGCATTTACCAGCACGCAGCTCCTGGAGCTGGAGCGAGAATTCTCTTCCAATATGTACCTGTCCCGGCTCCGGAGAATCGAGATCGCGACGTACCTGAACCTGTCAGAGAAGCAGGTGAAAATCTGGTTTCAGAACCGTCGCGTGAAGCACAAGAAGGAGGGGAAAGGCGCTTCGCGAAACAATCACGCCAGCTGCAAGTGCGTGGGGAGCCAGGCGCCCTACGCGCGCTCAGAGGACGAGGACTCCTTGTCCCCAGCCTCGGCTAACGAAGACAAGGAGATTTCTCCCTTGTAAAGGAGGATGCTCCTTCTCAGGCTACCTGCTCCCCGGCAGGCCCTGCTGAATCAACTTAGGGACCAAAGTTCTAGTTCATTGCCTTCACCCTTCCTGGAAAAGGAACTCGGACAAATCTAGAGAGTTCAAAGCTGGGCCTGACTCTGAAGCTACTTCTTGACTCTTTATTTGGGACTCCACTCAGAGTTATGGATTTTTTTTAATGTAAATAATCTAGAATTCGAGTCAGTCTCATCTAACAGGAAAAAAACAGGGATGTTTTAAGTTTAACACTGCATAGGGGGAGTGGGTTGAAACCGCGCATGTCATTTGCCAGCCTTGTCTTTCTCAACTTGATCAGGCAGGGCCTTCTTCATTAGTTTTGTTGCTGTTTTGAAAGGAAACCATTGAGGTTGCCATTAATATAGAGTTAAACTCCGTAGGTCTTGTTTTTCTGAATTTTTTCACGTGGGGGGGGAGAGTTTTAAATTCAAGTCTCTGGAAGTCCCTTTGTATGTGAATAGTTTTATATAAAAGTTATATTTATATTTATTTAAATAAATGAAACAAAATAAATACTTTAAATTTGTGGTGCTTGCCCTCACCCCCCCCCCCACACACACACCTTGTCTAGAGACAGTCATGTGGGGAGTAAGGACTTAGAGGTTAAGTCCTGGCTGCAATCATGTGGGTCTCCCAGCTGATGGAACTTGGAACTTAAGGGTTTGTGTGTAACAGAGACTTCTTATCAAAAAGACACCTCAGTCCTCATTTGACCGCGACCAGGTAGTGCTCCTTTCACCAAAACGGGTGACCTCACAGCTGCCAGGACAGGGGACAGTTAGGGGACACTGACAATGTCAAGGGGACCTTGGCAACTGGTGCTCAGCCGGCCTGATCTCTGTGACCCTCACACCACGAAGGAAAGCAGGGTTTGTCCTGCTGGCTGGGAGGGGAGCAGGCTCAAACTCGCTGCATTTCCTACCTCCTAAAAACCAACCTCCCTTTTTCCTAGGAAATGGGCTTCTAGGCAACCAGGGCCAATGGCCAGTGGGAGGAAAGATGTTTACAAGGGCTAGAGGTGGGCTTTTCAAGAGGGTGATTTCTTTTCCTGGAAATAAGCAGGACAAAGACACCTCCTCCGGTGCCCCCCTCCACCTTCCCCCCACCCCCACCCACGCTCCCCGCTGCCTCTTAGCCTACTCCAACCCAAAGCAAAGCCTCTTCTGCAGACTATTGCTCCATCCCCTTGCTATGTGCACACCTGCCTACTCCCCACTGTCCTGCGCTTGGGTCTGGCTCACACCCAGCTCACATCCATTGCCAGTAAGGATCTCAGCCCCTACTGTAACCTTGCTGGGCCTTGTGGCCAGCTCTTGCCATGCAGTTGCCAGGAGCTTCCCACTCCTGGAGTTGTGTGTGTGGAGCAGGCGAAAGGAGAGCCAGCTAACGCTGCTGTCCTGACCGAGGACTGCTACTGTGCACGTTTTAAGAATCTCGCTTCCAGGATCTAGGATCTGGCTACCCACATTAGGTTAAGAGCCTTTTAAGTCAACTCTCAGACACTAGGCTCAAGTATGGAAATAGTCTACCAACAACCATCAGATCAAGCGCTGCAAGCCGCCGTGCCCTTGGGTGCACTGGAGAAGGTTTAAGACATTGGGAGCCAATGTGGACCGGGTCTACTAGGCAGTCTTGGATTCCAGCTTTCCTAGTGTCCCACTTGAAACCCACCAAATGCTCTTTATCCAAAGCACAACCTCTCAGAATCCTTAAACACAACCAGAAAAAAGAAATGAAAATATTAAGTAGAAACCTGGATTACTTGACTAAAAAGAGGGGGTGAGCGAGAACCATTGAAGGTGTTGTATCCAACCTGGAGAACCTTAGGGAGCTAGGAGCTTCAGAACACAAGGAAGATGACCTTTCACCCTTGTGCCCTGGCTCAACGCAGAGAGGAAGGGGGGAACAAAGGCCTTCCCCTTCTACTCACCCATCCAGTGACCAACACGTGCTCTAGGCCAAGGGTCTGACAGGGCCTGTATCCCCAGGCAAGACTTCTCAATTGTAAACCCTGGCAAAAGGGATCCAACAACTTATCCTTGGGGTGTCAGTAGCCCAGGTAATGGAGACACTGGTGCCACTAGACTGATCTCCGGAGTTCTTATTCTGAACCGGTTTGGTTTGAATTATGCACCAGGGCTACTCTGTTTCTTGCTACTTCCTTTCCCAAATAGAAACAAGATTTAGGGAAGGACAGTCCTCCGTTTCTAGCCTCCTCTGCCCCTCCTCACCCCCACTCCTGGCCACATTTTCCATCCAATTCTATCTGATTAGGATTGTACCAGTTTGCTGGCCACACCGACTAGTCAGACAATTGCCAGAAAGGTGGTAGGTGCTAAATGAAGGTGGTCACAGGTGGTAAAAGGAGTTGTGTGTCCACATCGATGCAGTGATGCAGACGGCAAGCATGCATGCCTGTGTGCCAGAGAGAGAGAGACACACACACATACATACACACACCTATATACATATACACACAGAGAGACCACACACACACACACACACATACACAGACAGACAGACAGACAGACAGATAAGGAGAGAGAGACAGAGAGACAGGGAGAGAAAGAGAACTAAGTGGCAGTGGTGGTGTAAATGGAAAGCTAAAAACAAGTGGAAGAATACCAGGGGTTTTAATTTTCTTTTTTTTTTAATACAGCATCTGTAGTCCATGTTGACTACAAACTGTCTTGGTAGCTAAGGATAACCTTTCCCCTCATCTTTCAGTGCTGACATGAACTGATTTATGTGGTGCTGGGGCTTGAACCCAGCAGGGCTTTGTACAAGCTCACACCAGCACCCTAACTAAGCTCTAGATCCAGCTCCTTAAGAAAAAAAAAAATCCTTCCTTTTTTGCAGGCCCCCTTCCTTAAGAGATGCCCTTGAGGAAGGTGGGAAGGTGCCCAGGGAAAGCAAAGGCTTGGGGGAAGCTGATGAACACAGAGGTGAGAGGGAGGAGAATTCTGGGAAGGGAGCTTCAGCCCAGCCTTCAGGACGGAGGAAGAGAATGACACTTCCAATTGAACCCATTTGCTAGAGGAAATTGGGTTTAAAGGAGCAATCACTTCTTTAAAAGGAGCTCCTCCCACCTTCCCCAAACAGAAAGCTGTCCCCGAGGATGAATGCAGCTCTGTGCATCAGAGCAATTGTTCCTGTTTTCATTATTCACAGAGAATCTTTGAATGTACCTGTTAAGGTGACAGACCTTTTAAAAAGGAACATTTTTTTCTATGCAATTAATTGGTGCATTTACTAGGCTTCTATTAACATAATTTAATATAAATCTATTTTATAAATCTTTAGGCTCACATTACTGAAATTGAGCTCTTTTTAGAAAAAAAAAAAAAGTGCCCACAGATGCCTCTTTCTTAAATTAGATAGAATGAAATCCAAAAACTTGCTATTCTAAGCCAGCTAGAAATAAGACGGGCAGAGGAGTCTTTTGTATTGTCTTTGTTAATGGGGGAGGAGTGGAGAAAGCCGGAGCT